CTGCATGCAAGAGAAGGATGTGCAACCACTTTGATGTTATTTTTAGAGTGCTATAGTTTTCTACGGGGAAAGATCCAGGAGACCATGCCCTGTGAGGTTTCAATTGGAGATGAAAAGACCTGCATGCAAGAGAGGGATGCACAACCACTTTAATGTTATTTTTAGAGTGATATACGTGAGGATCTGATCATAAATCTTGTAACAGTGACTCTTTTGATCACTATATATATATATATATATCAGTGGGATTTGCAGCTATAATGCTCATCATATATATACTTTCTTTCTGTTTAGTACTCATTTTATAGGATTCAAGACAATGTGTTTATTGAATGAATACATAGTTAGTACAAAGAAAGAAACATTGTGGTGATGAGCATACCAAGTGCAATAAGAAAACAGGTTTCCAGAACAGAATTGTTATCTGTTGGATTTCAGAGAGAGATGAATCGAATGATTGGTAGAAAAGGTGGAGGATGAATTCTTCCAATCATATCATACAATTAGAGCAAGCTAATAGCTGGAGGTTTTATTAGCAAGCGAATAAAAGCTGTTGGATTTCAGAGACCGATCACTACATTTCGCAGGTTCAAGCGAATAATAGCTGCATGTTCTACTGCTGAAAGTTGCCCGAGATGGAGAAGTTGAACGGACGCCTCAAGATTGCCAAGCACATCCAGCCGTCACTCGGATCCACAAGCAAGTAGTTCTCCTCTGCGAAGTCCATATCCGCGCCATCAAAATGGAAAGCCAAGTTCGGCACTGCCACCTGTTGGTGAACTGATGCGTCGTGGCTGATGAGTCAGCACGACCTAGTCCACGGGCCGATATCGGGAGTCTTCAGTCGGTTGAGCTATCCGTCGGGGTTGGTCACGCCCTTCAAATGATAAGTTAGCACCGGAATATTGATTGACGTCTCTTCGTCAGGATGCTAGTTGGCGCGCCGGAAGGAAGGACGACTCTATCGATCGGGACGATCTCATCTCGGGCGTCGTCGCTTTCCTACATAGAAGGCCTTCGTTGAGTGGTTACCAATTGTGGCCCCTTCGACGAGCAAGTCAATGGTGGATCGATTGTTGTTTGTTTTTTCTTCCCTTGGACTGGATGCCAGCCGGAGGCTTTTATACAATTGTACGAGGGTCGGTTGTATGCGAGTTTAGCATGACGACCGATCCTCGAGGGGTGAGATGGTACCTTTGTGCGATCGTCGTCCCGGGACGTGCGGAACGGCACCATGCAGCGCCATCTCGAGCTTTTCGGGACGGGACGTGCCGAGCAATGCCTTGGTACAGATTCCGGCTTGGCGCATGGGGGTGTTCCTCTTACTGACTTGGCTGCAGCATGGCGTGGCATTGATTGTGATGTGATTTGGACCCAAAATATATATTATCACTTCTCTCCCCCTCTTCCCCGCGCCCCCCCCCCACATCCAAGCGTGCCATGGGGTCCTTGCGAGAGGGCGAGGGGTGCGCCTGGGTCAAAGTGTCGCGGATGCATCGCTTACTTGTGAGGGAAAGTTGGATTGGCTCGTCACGAGGCAGTTTGGGGGGCGGCGCCCCGTGCCTTGGGAAGGGTTGGCTCCATTGGTCGGGCGGCTAGGCCTAGGTGAGATGAGACTGATGAGTCGTTGGCCAGGGGATCAAGCTGCGGGATTCGGGTGAATACTAGACCTTCTAACTTTTTTCGAATATAATACGTAGAACTTTCAGTAGAATTGGTGAAAGACACTGTCATCGAGCAACTATCGAATAAACTTGATTGTTTTTCGATCTAACATCCTTCACTCATCATCTGTCATAGTTGTGGGCTTTGCATTATCTCCCTACAAAGGTTTATATAAATCTTTGCAATACAGGAGATCTTTCATTCTTGATTTTCATATCATCCAATTATTTCTATTCAAGCTAATTATACGAGAAACACTACTGATACAAAATTAAATCACCAAAACCCTGCTTTGATACCAGTTGATGGGATATAAAGAAGAAACAAACTTTTGTATACGAACGAATACTAGTAAGTCATAACACGTAACGAAATTAAATGAAAATCACAATAAAATAGAACACCAAGATTTACGTAGAAAACCCCTCAAGAGTAAAATCTATGAGGCCTAATAAATATATAAATCTCAAAGTATTTTACCTAAAATCTAAGCAACAATCTCAAGAGAATAATTAAGATACAAGGATTTTATCACTATACAAAATATCCAAATTCTCCCCAAATAATCGCAGCAAGAATTTATTGTAGATCATATCTAACTTAAGATGAGAACATTGCTTGGATGATTGAGAATAATCTTTCTGCGTTATCCTTGTATTTTTCTCTTTCCTTTTTTTTCTTCTATTTTCTCTTTTTTTTTAAATCAAATTATTATAACAATTTTTTTGTCTCTAGTTTTTTCTCATTTATAATCACAGTACTCCTCTTATTAAATCTAGAATTAGATTAAAGCTCACTGTCACTGACAGCTGAACTTGCGGGCTGTCAGCCCATCTACAGACGCATCCAAATGAGATATAGCAGTGAGAAAACAGGTCGACGGAGGTGATTGTCACTACAGTTGGTCACAATTCGCAGGCTCAAATGATAGCTTCCACCGGCGAGATCATAGACGACATGCATGTTCTGCTGCACCAATTCTATTTGAAGATGACACATTGTAACTGTCTGCTGCATCCCCTTCGAATTACTCTTACCTCTTTTACATATTGTAGACTTATCCAATATCACAGTAAAAAGATTTGAGCAATTACCCAAAGGAAGTTAGTTGTTCCTCAGGTTTAAAGCTGATTGCAGCATTATAATTCCTGCAGAAATAAAAAAGGATAGAATACTGTGATTAACATGCCAAAGCGACAGAGTCTTGGTTTCAATGATCATCATCACTATGTTGTTGCTGCACACAGAGCATATTATTGAAACAAACTTCCACAAAGGTATTACTTTAAATCAGCCACAAATTACACACATTATTTTCTCGCAGAACAATGGGAGAGAATACAATTTGATCCAATCAAAGGAACCACATGACCTTCAGCATAAGCGTTTTCGCCGTTACATAACTTCGACGATAGCAAACTAATAAAAGAAAAAATTGCGACAAAGATAATGCAAAACAACTACAGTTACAGATTTAAAATGACAAAAAGGATATTCACCACATCTTTGTCGAACTCTTTCTTCAATAAAATGCTGTCACAAGTTTTTATCAGGCACACATAATAACTGTTGTTCATAATAACTGAGTAAAAAAGAACTCACACAGCTGATGTCAATTAGAAGTGGTTCTTGAACTTGCACAATCCAATCAGATCCTCCCATATGAGAGTATTTTGTCATAGCTTTTACATTATCACATACTTAGCCAGACCCATCTTAGTCACATAAATTGTTTAGTTGTCTCTCCCTATAAACAATTCCATCATATGTGAAAACGAAATGGTCACAAGCAATGTAATCGTATACATTTGGGCAAAAGTCCTGCTACCATATATATTGGAAATTACAAATTTCAGAAACTAAAAATAATATAATATAAATAAATAGTTAGAAATCACCTTATCAAATTATAACCGAGAAGCACAAACCAGTAAAAGAACACCATGTAAAGGAATGCACTTAATCTTGGACAGCTCAGAGAGATAAGAATCTGAAAGAAACGTCAAGCTACTACATCAAAGTATAATCTAATCCATGCAATAGAAATAATAACCTTCAATAAGCCAAAAGAAAGTATCATTTGACTTTTTGTCCATCTTAAACGAGCAAGCATAAAATTGACCTCCTTAATACCAACTGTTAGACAGTGATATTGTTGACTTTCTAGTATCCTTCTCAGAAGAACCTCTCTGGTTCAACCTACACGTGTTTCTGAATTTAACGTCATTTTGAATATTTTGCATGGTAATTCAATAAGATATTACAATATATCATTATGCAAGACCCTTTGATCGACGTAATGAGGAGCTAGAAGAGCAACAAACTTTAAACAGAAACCTGATAAAAGCATTGACAGGGAAGAACAAACAAGTCGAAATAACTACCAATTAAAAGACTGGGGAGGACAAATATAACAGATGATAAACCCATTCAATCTCCAAGTTTCCAATAGTTGCAAATATAAAGGTAGAAATAGGAATTCAGCCTTTTGGAAAAGACAGTTGACAGCTATCATAAAAAAACCCTATTGGTACACTGACTTGCAAAAACACCATACAAGAGGCTTTACTACAAGCTAGTTCCTTGCATCACCTAAGCTTACCATACTGAATGCTTGAAATTCCATATTTTCCTCCAAAGAATTTTGCATCACTGGGTTTTCTTCAAAGTAAGATTCAACTCTAATTCTTTCTTTTGTAGTTCAAGGGATAAGCGTTTATTCTCCAGCTCCATTCGTTCATTTTCCATCCTCATGATGTTTAGTTCTCTGTCTTTCTTCTTACTAAACCTTTGCCACTTGTAACGTTGTCTCTCAAGCTCCAACATCTGAGCTTGAATATGCAGTCTCTTCTCTTCAAGCTGAATTGGGTAAGAACTAACCCACTGCTGTGGTATCATTGCGGACTTGGATCCTTCTGAAAAAACTTGGTTCATATCTACAGTTAAACCTTGAGGGTGGAGGCTTCTGTTACAATCTCGTGAACCAGAACAATTCGAAAAAGCCAGTTCTTCATGGTTCACCCCAAGCTTCATCCTTTTTGGGAAGCCATGCACAGCATTGTGCTCTTCGGCATCACCTTCCTCGTCATCGCTATCAGCACTTTGGTCATCTTCATCAACATCTTCAAGCGAGCTCCTCTTTGTGTCATGCTCATCTCTAATTCGAAGTGCCAGCTGCAGTGATCGTTGAAGTGCTGGGTCTTCAGGTAAATTCAACCGGTTACAATTATGATATGAGCACATTTCCTCATAGAACAGATGCTTTGAGCTCAAGATCTTCCTCGCATCCTCCTTCAACTTTTCAGAGATATTCATATGTTCCAAAAGTGCTGGATTCTCCACAACCTTACAAGATGTGCCCCTACCAAGAATATCTGTGAGCCTCTTGTACCTCTTATTGAGATCATTGAACTTATCTTCACATTGCTGAGGCGATACATAACACCCTCTCTCAGCCATAACTTTAGATATGGCCTTCCACTTTCCCTTTTTCTGCAGTATGGCATACTTCCTCCTTCCACCACACTCAGACGCAACATCTTCCCCTATGTAAGAAACCGCGGTTATCAAAAGCCTGACCATTGCATCGGTCCACTTCATCCGCTGCCACGAGGAGCCTTTCTCTCCTTTGCCTGCATCAATTTGACCATCAGTTCCATCCTTGGTGAAGCTCGGCTCATCATCATCACTCATGGAGGTCTTACCAACCTTGCCTTTGTTATAGCCCATCACTGAAACCCCTGCTTGATAGTCAGATTCCTGCAACTGGTTGTCTGACATAGGGAAAGCATCAAGCATTGGCGCTTGGATCATCGAGCCTTGACGCATGTGCATGTTCCCTTGCAAACCTAGCACACCATAAGAAGCTCCTGGCATCATGCTCCCAGCCGGGTAATTTCCCTCCATCTGGTGTCCTTCAGGAACAAAAGTTCCCATTCAGTATCGTCCAACTTCTTCCTTGTTTCACTCAGGAGAACTCGAATTGTACAATTTTATAAAGATCTATTAGCAATTCTTCCTTGCAAAGCGACAGTTTTCTCCAACTTTTTCAGAATTCAATGGTAATAACATCAAGATTCCAACTTTCTTGCAGCACCTACTGATTTCTTCAGAACAAACTAAATCATCTAAAAGATATTGGTTCTCGGAAGTGCCAAACCCTAGCGGCAGCAAGCACAGGAAGGAAAATCACAAAAGGAACACAGCTTTACGCAAAAGAAGACATGAAATCGACCGCGACGAGCATGTGAATCTTCTACCCTGGTATCGTAAACGGAGTCCTACAAGAAACCGCTCGGCCTGACTTTAAATCACGGCGCCCATAGTGACACACCAAGAAAACCCAAGAAACCAGTCGGGAAGGGAAGAAAGACGGCACTTATCTGGATCACAGGGAGCCAAATCCACGCCTTTGCGACGCGAGCGGGTCAAGATCAGGGCTTTTCCAGCGGGAATTTGTCGGGAAAAGAATGCGATCCTAAGAATCGCCAACAACGGGAGGAGGCTCGCGAAATGAGGAGAGCTCGTTTTGAGGAGAAGTACAGAAAATAGAGGGCAAATTATTGGACGCAGGGCACGGGAGGGGGGAATGTGACTGCCACGAGATTTATCTACGCGAAAATGTTACGCGATCAGGTGGGAGTCCGAATCCTTCGCGGGGAAGCGGCAAAAGTTTGTCGTGAGTTCGTGAGCGTGGAGTCGAGTAGTCGGCAACGCAAGTGGGGACACTATCACGTGCCGCTTTGGGTTGCGCATGTTATTGGTACCAACATGGAGAGCAGTTGGGGACAGGGAGCTCACAATTTGGTATTTTGTTACACATGGAAGAGAATGAGCCTCTATTTTTTTGTGTTTCCTCTTTCTCTCTCTCTCTCTCTCAAACATGGGTTTGGCAATTTGGAACTTATTAGACCTCTAAAATTTATATGTATGATAAAAATTGTGGTCTTAGTTGAGCCAATTAATTTTATGATCCTTAATTATTTATATTAAAATTAATGATATAATTTACTTTTAGTGAATGGAGAAAAAAGATGAATTGGACCCAAAAATATGACAAGGATTGTCATCAAAGATTCCTTATATATATATATATATATAGTTGGTAGATGGGGTCATGTCAGAACATGATGCTCATGTTTGAGAGAAGCTTCCGTGATGGAATCAACATCTTTTAAGATTTAGTTCATGATGCAATGAACCTGAAGTGGATGCTCATATCTTCCCCTTTTCTCTCTAGTGTTCTTTCTTTTTCCACTATAGTGTTTTGTTGGAATGTGTTGATGTCAACATTCTTCAGAGAAAAATATGACTTTATTCTTTAGAGAGAGAGAATAATCAGTTGTTTTCTTGGGATAGATTTTTATGTGCTTTTAAATAACACCAAAACCCATTGCTTATTTTATTAAAATTTTGACAAGTATAATTGGATAGAGATTAAAATGAGAATAAATGGACATATAGCAAGGAGTTCCTGTGGTAATGTGCTACACAAAGCACATATCTGAACATAAAATTGTTTCTATAAAGGATCTTGAACTAGCAATATCAGTTTCAGATCAGAATTTTTACATGGCCATTTGCATTAATCTGAGACAAATTAGAGTCAAAGTAGCTGATGCATCCTAGGCAATATCTTGACAACCATGCCCATAAGTGTGGCCACTGCAGCAAAGTTCCTGCTCCCCCTTCAAGCCATTGTAAAACTGAGGTAGATGTTTGGTGGAGCTATGAAGAAGACAGATGCATGGAACAGAAAATTATGCCAAGCCAAAGATTTCCTAAGTAGGGTGCTTTTAAGCAGTAACAGAAAATTAGCATGATATGGAAGTACAAAATGAGAAGATGGAAGTGAAAGAGAGGGAATGATATATGTAATAAGAAGAGCTAATTAGCTGTACCAATATGTAGTTATGGACTTCTAACTTTGTGTTCTGGTCCATATAATCCATGTAATAAGTTGAAAATGTTCATGGTGAATTAAAAGCATGTCAGCTGGTATTGCTTTTCATGTATATAGAGTATTGAGAATATTTCTTCAACCTACAGGATGATCCACATGTTTTCTTTTCAATTGCTGTGAGTGTATGGCTTGTCATCATGTAAGAGCAGAAACGTAGCTAAGAAACTTGTGATTACAACTTCATTTAGGGCATTTTCTTAAGAATATAACAAAAATATGCTTTTGTTGCTAATTCTGAAGACAACTGGGATAATCAAGTCAACAACTAACTTGGCTTAGCTAGACTATGGTTCTTGATGATGATTAATATGACACATTTTAATACCATCCACGCAGCAGCTGACAGAGATCACGATAGGGCCAACAAAGAACCTCTCAGACTAACACAATGCGATATCTTGAACCCGATGATGCGATCACATGACCTTCGCATTATTCGACACCGTACAAGTCAATGCCAAACACCACAGAGTCATTCTAGAAAGTTTGGAATAGTACTACACGACGAGAACCTATATGGGTCGATCGACGCTCATCCACAAAAAATAATCTCTATAAATTATCACCAAACACCACAAAGTTGTTCCGCAAAACTCAGAATGACACTAACCTGCACGAGTCGATCGACACTCATCCGCAAGGTGCAAGCTATCCTCTCGAGAAGGTAACAACCATTAAATGATCATGTACGACCAACCACCCCTTCGCATGTATAAAAGCCAACCTCTAATAAAAGAGAGAGAACTTCACATACTTAACGTATTCTTATTCTACTTAACTCTAATTTAAGTTTCGGAAGGATTGAGTCAGGAAATCCTCATCCCAACCTCGACCTGAGTGCAAGGGTTGGCAACAAAGAAGACAAGCAATAAGACCCACAACTCAATCCAACCCGACACTCACTTCCATCACTCGAGTCTATGCGTGTGCAACCTTGCACATCCGAGATCAGATCGAGCTATGCTGATTTCTCGATCACGACATAAAGATTCACCAACAATCATATGTTTATAAATATACAAGGACAAGAGTTAGTCAATAGCCAGATGATCTTAAACATAGATCATACCTTTGACTTGCTACCTTATCCCACAATCAATAACCAGATAATTTTATAGTCAGGCCACCAGACAACAACCTTAAAAAATTGTTAATTGAACCTCAGTTTTACTAAGAACTGTTAGCACTCAAAGCCAGCAATTCCGTCACACAAAAAAGCTTGATAGCTTTCAGGAAGTTTCAGAATGTAAAACGTTCATCTCATAAACAGAAACATATGTCATTGCAAGAAGAATTAAAATCTGCATGACCATATGGATATTGTTCATCTGTTGGCTGTTGGCATATACAACACATCAGATTAAAAATAAAGGTTTAGTTTCATCTTAAATCGATGTTCAGCTTAATTTGCCACATAAATATAATCTATTATCGAGAAATCAGCATTGCACACACACACAAACACACACATTGGTGAAGACTTAACATACACTGATGCTCTAAAATTGCAAATCGACTAATTAGGATTCGCCATTTTCTTTGGTATTGCAAAGTGTTCTCCAATCAACAAATGCACAAGGTTGGATACAACAAGCAGCAAAAAAGAGTGTAAATCCAAGGAATGAATCAAATTCGTGAAGTTTCAGAAATCTTTATAGACAAACAACTCACCTTATTTCTTAGGTTTTCTTCCCAGGATGCATCTTGCGTGGGAGATGCAGAGAGGCCGGCGATGACGCGTCTGGCCAGGCTTCTCCAACTAGAGCAGAACCAGTAGCAGCAGAAGATGAGAAGACGATCTCAACGTTATTGCCTGCTCCTGCACCCAAACTAAAACATGTTCTCCATTCCTCAGTGGCAGACAAATTGGAGAGATCAACTAATTATATGATACTGGTCGAAGAAGCATAAACCCATTCGATTAACATGCACAACATACCATACATACCACCGACCTCGTTTCTCCCCCCACATCACATCACCATCGACTCTTAGATCTAGACCCTAAATAAAAGAAAGAAGAGAAGCGCCACTGGGACTATCAGGCCCGTTCGCCCCGGATGCGGCGGGCGAGCTGGATATCCTTGGGCATGATAGTCACCCGCTTGGCGTGGATGGCGCAGAGATTGGTATCCTCGAAGAGACCCACGAGATATGCCTCGGCGGCCTCCTGCAGCGCCGCCACCGCAGAGCTCTGGAAGCGCAGGTCGGTCTTGAAGTCCTGGGCGATCTCACGGACCAGACGCTGGAATGGCAGCTTCCGGATGAGCAGCTCCGTGCTCTTCTGGTACTTTCGGATCTCCCGCAGAGCGACCGTCCCGGGGCGAAAGCGATGTGGCTTCTTCACGCCGCCAGTCGCCGGGGCCGACTTCCGCGCCGCCTTCGTCGCCAACTGCTTCCGCGGGGCCTTCCCGCCGGTGGACTTCCGGGCCGTCTGCTTCGTACGCGCCATCGCCGAGGGCTCTGAATAAAGAGGTGGCTAAGACTTCTTGGTCGGACGACGGGATGCGAATCGAGATGGGTTGGGGAAGATGGAGCGGAATGGCGGGTATTTGAAGAGCGTATTCGAGGCGGGTACTCGTGGAATTCGAAAATATTTGGGTGTGTTTCCGAGGCGGGAGTCGATATGGATCGTCAGATTGGTCCTCAGCGAATGGTCAAGATTTCCTGATGAAGTAGCACACGGATCGCGATCACCTACACCTGACAACCCACGTAGCTAAAAATAGGCCACCACCATGATGGCCAATCGGTATGCCTAACACGTAGATAGACTATTTTAGTTCATCGCATTGGCTGTTGTCACTATATATCTATGATCAATATAGTTCATCCTACTGTCCATTAATGAGTTAACATGTGAGCGAGTTGAGGGATTACGAAGTCATAAGACGATAAGACGAGAAGAAGCTTCCTGCTTCCTAAAGGGGGGCTCACGAGACTAAAGTCGAATTTAACAGTCAAATGGACCCGCTTCCTAGTCTTCCAGCCGTCCGATTGAGATCGAGCGTCAATGATCGATTTCGCGTCCTAGTCTCTCTTATCCCGTACTCGGCGTGCGGTCCCCTCGAAGCAGTACCAGCACACACCTTGCCCCCGCCACCCATCACCGTCCGTGCTCTGATCAAATGGCTGAGAATAACAGACGCGGTGGTGCTTCACATGATGCCATCTGTCGAATTTGATGTTTACGTTTTGGCCCCTAACAACGTCGAAGTTACATACGACACAGGTTTATCATGTACCCGAAATCTTATTAGCCTCTTGATTGGAGGGATTTGTGGTCCAATGAGATAAGATGCGCGGATTGGAAAGGTAAGAACGGAAGTAACAGATTCGGGTGTGGAAGTAGTTATGTTTACTATCATACTCTTAAAGTCCACCAACTAATTCCACCGTCCATTGCCTTTTGGGTTATCGTGTCCACCATCCGATCCGTGGAGATCAGAGATGGAGGGCACGCCGACGACCGCCGCACATCGGTTCGGACAGATCCCGCCGCAGCCGCCGCCGAATCCACGCGGGGGCACCGTTGCCGGAGCCCACCGGCGGGCTCTCTCCGAGACATTCCTCCACCTTCCCGACGACCTCCTCTTCGACGCCGATCCCGAC